TTAGACTTCAGACTAAATGTTCATATTTATTAATTGGTTAACTTAATCTGTTATAATCCTGACCCCAGGAAATTTAATAAATACTTTTGTCAGTGCTGCTAAATTACAGGTTTATTTTTGTGCCAGGCAGAATGACACACTCAAGGCCTGGAAAAGATTACAAGTTATCTTCCAGATCAAGTGTTTGACTCACATTCTGCAGCGATATAAAAGTATGACAGCATTTTATGTGTTAATTTGCAACAACAGCTTGAAAGGTTGATCATGCAAGATGCAAGATCTCAACTACTGAAGGTCAGTCATGAAATCTAGAGATTCAGAATACTTAAGCCCCCCAGGAGGGCCACAACACACTGCAACACAGAGCCATAGCAGTAAGTTGCTTATTGCCATATCTGAGTCACAACCACACAGAAGTGATCCTACACCTGCTACTAAGGCCCCCTTTATGCTGAATGATTTCCCCCTACCATAACACAGTGGATAATATGGTCTGTAAAAACAGTCTTCTAGAATGTAATGAAGCCATTTTAAGACCTGCCATTGTTGGCCTACTACAGGAAACCTACAAAGAAACATTGTGGCCATAATTACGTCCTGTTCTACAAAGTATTACACCATGATCATCTTGGAAGTAGGAGCAGTGATGTCAACAGGACACAGTATTTTTAACATACACAGCAGTAAAAATTCCAGCACTCATTTATGAGGTAGCTCTACTATACTCCCACTGTTAAAAGTTTCACAAGAAGTTCTTCAAAGGTGGAAGATCTTTCATAAATGGTTGCAATTTAGATGTCCTTCACAGGACAACTGCCACTTGACCTTAAAAAAAAAAAAAAAAAAAAAAAACACAAACAATGACAACAAAAAACAAGCAAATACAAGAACTATATGTCACAAAATAACATATTATAAACACATTGGTTTATAACTGAAACTAATCTTAGCAATAATGCTGATCTGTGGAATGTCCAGGAAGGACAGAGGGATGAAAGAAAAATGTTTTAGCAAACAAGAAATCATGAATGAGGCAAAGAGAACGTAAGAAAAGATCTGTTTATAGTTCAAGGGGACTATAAAGAGAAGGTCTTGTGGATTAATGGCCTCACTCTTCACAAGGAAATCCTGTTTACATACACTTCCATAGTAACCTAACTCTATTAGTAAACATTTTTGCTACATGTAGCACCTTGAAAAACAAATCCCAAATAGACTACTTACAAAACAATTAAGTAGCAGAAACACTCTAACATTAAAAAATATAAAGGGTCAAGATACATAGCTCCCTTCAATGATTACATGTGTGGGGGAAACACGCTACACAGCCAATACATAAGGATCAATGGAAGCAGAATTTGGCAAAATTACCAAAATCTTTACTGTCATAATAAATTAGCAGAGACAAATTTCCATTTGATGCTAGAACATCCAGAATGTATTCCAGGTAGTAAATAAAGATGACATAAATGTAATGCACAGTACAGCCAGCGCAGTAAGAAGGCAACAACTGTATAGATTAAAAAAAGTGAGAAAGCACTTTCCTTTTCAGATCAATTTTCAGTTATTCGATCCTTTCCCAAGAAGACCCTTTCTGAGAATGCGTTTTCTCCACTTCGGTGTGAAACCCAGAAGCTTATCTCATGTATTAATGTCCATTTGACTACATTAGAGTTACTTGATCAGGGACTAGTGAGGGAAAAAGGAAAGAAAGACCTTTTATGCCATGACAAAATGAGTCTAATGCTGAAGTCAAGCACCAAGAAAAAGGTATTTTGTTTAGCACTGTTAAAAGCAAGGTTTGAGTTCTACAGTAAGGCCAATACTGAACACGGGACTAAATTTGTTGGTCAGATGCAAGCAAGCTTTTGGGGAGGAAAAAAAAAAAAGCCAAGATTATGTGAAGGGATAAATCTGTAAGTCTGCAAGGAAATAAATCATCTGGACAATTTATCTGACTGAGCAGACAAAACCTCCAATAATGAAAATTCTGGACTCACATCAAGTTATCTATGATTTTTCCTTTCTGTAATTCATGTCTACTATGTCTTGTTGTATCATAAACACAGGGACATGTTTAAGTGACAGACTCGGTAGGTAAGGTTCATGGTTTGACCTGATGATCCTTGAAGGATCAACCTAAATAATTCTATTTTCCTGAGAACCTCCAGGGATGGAGATTCCACAGCAAAGAGTTCATGGCCTCCTCAGCAAGACTCAAAATGAACAAAGTGGTGATGTCTGACAACATAAATTTAACCACTAAATTTTGTGGTGTAGAATGATGTGCTCTTCCTAACCACATCACTGTCTCTGACTTATTTATTTTCTTTGGGCTCCCTGGACATCACTGTGCTATTATTGCCTTTTTGCATACGTAGAATTAAGTATCAGAAAGAATCACAGACATATCTGAGTTCAGATAATAATTTTTAAATTGTTAAAATAATTGTAAAATAATTCTAAAACCCCATGCTAAGTATCTTGTTTAAGGTCACAATAGATACAACTGGCATGGAACAAAACTGAGCTTTCCTTTGTAGAAGGCTGATGGAAAGAGAACCATTTCAGTGACCACTGAGGAAAAAATAACCTCATTCTTCTTCACATAAGAATGAAGAAGAAATGGCATGAAAACACAGCAGAGTTGAATATATTCTGGATATTCAGTCCAAGATTGCATTTTATATCTTAATCTGATTCCTACAGCAACTCTTCTTGTCCTTCGTCCTGTTACTTGCTAAACAATAAAATAAGTAGTTGTAAATCTTTTAGTGCTGCAAGTGAGCAAATTCTTAAGAAGATTTTACTTTAACACAACATATAAAGAGAAAAAAAAATCTTGAATAGACCTCACTGAGAAACAAGAGACTTTTTTTAATTAAAAAAGCAGCCATTCCTTTCTGCCATTAGGTGTTGCCTTGTTGGAAAAAGGAACTAATTTTCAGGAAAGTATTTGTAAAACAAGTTCATCCTGTTAAGATAAAAACAAACAAACAAAAAACACAACAAATGTTGAATTACAGTTGAAGAATTTTCATCTAGATGTCAGAAATTTTAAACAGCAAGAAATAGCTTACAGAGACACCACAAACCACTCACCAATGTATGGAACAGAACTCAGGCTGGTTATGGAGACAGACCAAGAGATGGCCAGTGGCTATGCAAACCAATGTACAGAATGCAGAGGTGCAAAAATCCACATGGATTTTTAAAAGCAGCTGTAGTATGGCTGTGCTTACTCCCTGTTTCCTGAAGAGGCTAAAATTGTTTTGCAAGGTTTGGAAAAATTGAGCCCAATCTGTATGATTTATGCACACATATAAATATATTAAAAAGAAAGGAGAAACCTAACTTTGGCATCCAAAAGTTGTATTTAGACAAACTGTAACTAAGCGAGTTTTGAGAATGTTTTAGTCTTTAATGTTTTCAAAGTTTCTAAATCACTTTTGGAGCTTTGACTAAAAGTATCTTTTAGACTTCACTTTCCTCCTCATTTCAAAAAAATGTCTAAGTTTCCACAGTTAAAGATGTTGTGTTAGACAAACTCAAATACATGGCCTTCTGGTCGTCAACTCCTAACCAAGACAATGAATCTGTCGCTTGAATCATCTCACAGGTTCTGAATACCCAGATCCAACTGCATTGTACTACTTTGTGTGTTTTTGATTTTGAAGCGGAAGAAAACCAAAAAAAGGCTAGACGATGAGCTGGTATAAGGCAGACAAGTCTTCTGAATTGAAAGGAACTTTGCTGATTGATATCAGCTGACAATCTGGCCCAACATGTTGACCCAGGAACATTCACTTTATAAACAACTGACTTGCTCTGCCAGGAACAAAATCTCTTCCCAAATGGATGCAGTGGGCTGCAAAGCCATTAGACATTATCATAAAATTAAACATGTTTTCATGTTTTTTCCCATGAAACATCATAATCATGAAGTATTTAAGTATTTTAATTCCTGTGCTTTTGCACTTCCTTTGCTAAGATTCACTTCTTGGAACACAACTGAGTCAGCCAGAAGGAAAAAAAAAAATAGAGACAAGTATAATCTAACCAACTCACTTTCAAGCAAGTTTCACAAAAACTTATGGAACTGGTTAGCCATGGCAATGCTATCCATCATACGAAAAAATATACCCTGGATCTGCCAAACATAAAACCTGGAAGTTCTACAGCAGGTTAGGATGTGCATCATCTGTGCTTCAGCCCCATGTCAACTTGACTATTGAAATCCATTACCAAGAATGGCACAGTGTCACAAAGCATCACCTTATTCCTTTATTTGTACTTGGATTCTAAAATACTGAGCAACCTTATAGAATTTTTCATAAAGTTGTTATCGCTTAATTCGCCCCTTTGGTCAGAAGTCATTTCAAGCAACCATGACCATGTAACTGGATATGGGACAGACCCCTACATCACTTCCTAAAGTTATCTTTCTGGGTTGTTGTGGTAGTTGTGGATGTTACCCTTGCCAGATTAAAATATAAAAAAACTTCAGTATACCATTCAGAATCCAAGACTGTTTTCAGAAAATAAAACTAAAGTTACATATAATGACAAAGATTTACACAGAACATAGAATCCAAGAGGATGACAACTTGATAATTTTTAGTTCTTTTCAATCTCATGAGTTCCTTCAGCAAATTAAGACTAAAAGGCGCACAAGCCCATAAGCCTTGCTAATGTTTTGATGACAAAAGTTGAGCTCCGGTCTGCAGAGCACGTTTGTGTCCTGTGAGACCGCCTGCAGCTGAGGACGTGGGAAGGGAGGAAAGGAGGAGAAAGTCCCACACTTGAGTGACTCTTTTTCAACACCATCAACTTTCTACTCCTAAATAACTGTCAGCAGCCTCCCAGTAATTTCCTACTGGATCTTTCCCTACTTTTGCAGGCAGTTTGTGTCATCCTTGATTAGCAAACTCATTCTGTCCCCTTTCCCTTCTCCCAGCATCCCAACTTCCAGAGCAAAAAGGAACGGCCGGGTCACTCACCCCTAACATCTGATGCAAATAATAGTACTGGAGCCCTCGATAATAGAGCAGGAAGGTTTTCCAGAAGAGCCACACATTGAGAGAGAGCCATAAAAACTAAAAGAGAAACAAGAGATTGTCAGTGGAAGTTATACAGACAAACTTTCCAGTTTTCATTCCATTAGTAAGTCATATGCATATAGTTTCATAAAGAGTTTTAAATGGAATTAGAGAACAAAACTCGCATTTAACAGAAATACTTTAAAAGCAGCACCCTAGAAGTGATGGGTGGGAAGTTTCACTGCCCCTAGAAGCCACAGAGGTGCAGCTCGGTGAGTGAGCACCGGCCACCGCCGGCACAGCTCCTGCAGCACCACCACCCCCTGCCTCCAGCCGGTCACCGCCGTTCGGGACCCTGGGAACACAAACGGGCAACAAAGCGACACAAAGGCAGGAAGAGTGCCACCCCACACCCCCCGACCTCCCTTCTTCCCCAAATTCTCCCCCCGAAGGCGGCCAGCAGCGGCATTGTCCCAAATACAAACGCCCCCACGTGTGCAGCCCAGCGGCAGCCGCACGCCTCCCGCCGCCACCCCCTAAAGCACCCCCGGCACCGGGCACCCCCCTTTCTCCTCGGCTCACCCCTTGTTCACCCCTTTTCTCCTCATTTCACCCCTTCTCCCCAGAGGCGCCCGGCAGCCCTACCAAAAAGAGGTGCTTGCTCCCCTCGTTGGCCAGCCAGCTCCTCCAGGACACCGCCATGGTGCCTCAAGGGGGGGGGGGGAGGGCGTGCAGGGGATCTGCCCACCACAAAAACCAGCGGCAGGACCCGGGAAGGGGTTTTGGGGGTGCGACAGGAGGGCGAGCCCTCCTTTTCAGCCGGGCTCAGCCGGTCCTCCCCCTCTCCCCACCCCTCACCACCCGCCCTGTCTTCCGGCCGCCGGGGCGTGCGCTGCGATCCTACACGGCCCTTACACAGCCCCTACACGGCCCTTACACAGCCCCTACACGGCCCCGCCGCCCCTTTGTCCGCGGTCAGCCAGGGGTCCCTCAGGGGAGCCCGGCGGCGGCCGCCCCCCCGAGAGGGTTCAGGGGAAAACACAGAGGCCGTCCGAGGAGCCGCTCTTAGGGCCGCCCGTGAGGTCCTTGGGCAGCTCCTGCTGGTGTCGTTTCCATCCTGCTCCCTCAGGTGGCCGGGGAAGAGGTGGGATCCAGGTCCCGGCACCAACCCCCTCAGCTTGCCTCGTCCCGGCTGTGTGGCGCACAGAAGGGCTTGGGTCCAGGGGGACCCTAAAAACACCATCCAGTTCCACCACCCTGCCATGGGCAGGGACACCTCCCACCAGACCAGGTTGCCCAAAGCCCCATCCAGCCTGGCCTTGAACACCTCCAGGGATGGGGCACAATCCCACCCTGGCACAAGGAGGGGTGCCCAGGTTCTCACTCCTCCACCTTGCTACCACTGTGTGATCAGGTTTTGGTTTGGCTTAGGTTTTGAATGAAGGTCGCACCGGATACTGATTTTAACATGAAAGCTTTAAATAAAGCTTTGCTGGCAGCAGCTTTTACGCCTCTTGTGAGTCACCAGGGGAGCTTCCACTCTGTAGCAGGCATTGTGGTGCACAGGGCTGCTCCTTGAGATAGCGGCAGTGACAGCTGACAGCGGAGTAAGCTGGTTTCTCCAGGAGATGCCAAGTCCAAAGAGCAGCCCACAGAAGTCTCATGCAGTCCAGCTTGAGCTGGCTGTCTTCCTCTAACAACTGGGAAAGTTGCCATGCCTTATGATCCAGACAACAAGGGTCCAGATAAAACTGGGAGGAAGCAAAGCACCATCCTTTTCCAGTCCCTATAAAGACGGAGAGTGCCTGACCTATGTGTGCCCCTAAGGTGTATGAGTAGGATGTGGTTCCTATGAAAATCAGCTGAGGGTATTTTGGTTGTGGCAGGAGCCCAGTCTCAGATAGTGGCAGGATTTCTGCAGCTGCAGAAGGTGAAGTTTTGGAAAAGCAGGACAGAGTAGAGCAATTATTTTGCATCATCAAATGACCTTAAAAGGAGAGTTGGTGAAAGAAAAAATACGTATCTGGAAATTTAAAACTCACCAGAACCATAGTTTGATGCCAAAACAGCACTAACTGCAAATGAAATACCATAGTTTATGTATCTTGCTTGCTATTTCCACTCACTTCCTCATTTCTGTTGGAACATAAAGACAAATGGAAGCTGCTTACAGAGAACCAGATGATGAAATTTCCCTAGACAAGCATGTCAAAGCCAGAATGACAGAAAATAAAACTTGTAGGATATGTCATGCCTAATAACATGGGGCCTTGGCTATAGCTCAAGCCTGAGCAAGCACAAACAAAACCAAAATAATTTTCCTGTGCCATATGCTATACTTCAAAATACCCTCAGAAACATCTCTGGAAAATCAGCTCATGCAGGATTTGACTGCCCACTCACATGAAGCTGATGACTCACACTCCGGCAACTGTACTTCACTGCCCACTTACGATCACCACACCGCACGTGGAATACATGACTCATGCTCCTGTCAGCATTGGATCCTACAGTATTTCTAGGTACACAGTGAGGAATGTGCTTTTGTAGAAAATGTCTCCCTCTCTCTCCCTAGGAACAGTGAAGGTTTTTGAACTGGTGTCCCAAGTTGGCTGACGGAGAGCAGGGCTGACCTTAGGACAACTTTGTTCTTCCTCCACAGAAAATGCGGTTTGTAGGTGGCTGAATCAACATGCCTTCACAGGTGTTTCTGGAAGTTTCTGTCTTCTTCCTCTGTTTTAAACAACCCCACAGATATCTGAGCATGTGTTTTAAACTTCTTGGAAGGAGTACTCAGAAATGGCTGTAGATACTACTTGTAACTTGAAGAACTGCAAAAGTTATATGACTCTTAAACATCATTTCAGCACCAGCTCATCTTTTTGTGTCCTCCTGAACATCCATTTGCCAGTTAGAACAATTTTTTGCTTTGTTCTACCAGCTGGACACACCACTGTCAAAAGCAGGCAGTCCCTCTTAAGGACTGAGTACCTACTTTTTCTTGCAAGGTTGTTTCTCCTGCATCAGCTGTCACTCTGACTGCACGCTCACCTTCAAGTCTACATCCCATCAACATCTGCAACACTCAAATCTACTCTCCCAGAGCTTATCCAGTTACCTTACACTATTTCGCTGATGTGTTGTAGTATTAGAGATGTGTTGTAGTAGAGATGTGTTATATATTAGAAATATGTCTTAAAAGGCTTTTGGTGCCTAAATTTTCCTCAAGTACCCGAGAGTGATCGACAATCTAATCACCCAAACTTCTAGTTATCTCCATCTTTCAGAATATTATGATCATCCTGCAAACTCCTGCAGTGACCGCCCATGTTGTGAGGATGACGCTGCATTCATCAAGTCTGCAGAGAGATCTGGGGACCACACTGGCTCTGTTGCAATCAAGATTTAGGCAAGCAAGCCCCTGAATTCTGCCTGCATCCCAAAGGGGACCGATCCACTCTGCCCAGTATTTATCCTTAATATTGGGCTCGTGGGAAGAGAGGGAAATGTTTTACTGATTTCACTACAGAGCACGGGAAAAATTGTTTCAGCCTAACAGCTGAAGCACTTGCCCAGCAGTGGGGGAGATGGAGCACAAAGAACTGAAGCCATTGCATTCCCATCCCAGGGAGGTTTCCTAACCACTGCACTTCACCAGAATCAAGGAAGGGAGCAACCTCCAAGTGAGCCATTGTGCATCCTGGAAAGCATGGGGAGGAGCAGAAGGAAAATGAGAAAGGGAGGCTGGCCAAGTGGTAACATCATGCATCTAAGGAAGGGAGATGATCATTGAGGAAGAGGAGATTTGGGACACTGGTTCAGATTTATTTTCCACTGGAAGACAAAACACTGAGCAAATTAAAAATGTTCAGGAGAAAACTGAAATCATGTGAGAAGACAGAAACTGACAGGTTTCCCCATAAACAACTTGTATTTTGTAGAACTTTCTTATTAAATTTAGGCTACATGCTGTTTGTGTTTATCTGTTTTCTGTTAGTCTAATGTGTAGGCACAACAAAAGTGTAAAATAGCGATCAAAATGCATGTCCCTATTAAGGTCTGTGCCATCTGAGTAATATCCTGTGTAACGGCATATGTTTTTTATGGCATTACATGTTGTGTCATTTCTTTCCTTTTTTGAAACTGGATCTTTACATTTGCTGCATACCACAAGATCAACTTTCTTTCTCGTATGTTCCCTGACTGACTCGGAGGCCTCCCTAGGGTGAAATGCTTCTCCAGGTTTGGGTGACAGCCAAGTTTATTAATTTCATTGAAGCTACAGTGATTCACAGCAATGCATTATTTACAGCTGCCACAGTGTCTAGGAGCATTAAGTATGGCCCAGGCCTGCTCTTTGCCTTACCTGTCAGAAAACAAAACCTATGTACAAAGACTTGAAAAAAGGAATCAGACAACAGTAAGTGGAGGTCTGATCCTCAATTCTCATAGACATAGCAAAAGCAGCAACAAGGCACGAGTGTACTGGTAGCATTAGCAGGTCATGCTTTGCTTCAGTTGAAAATCTCCCCTCAACCAAGCCACTCAGACACCGCTCAGCTCCCCACTACAAGAATTAAGTTCAAAAATATGACGGAAGGTCCTACAGTATTTTGTCCTCAAATAACCTCCTACACATTCCTGATTCAAACAAGAAAGATAGCATGACAACTCCAACACACGGCAACATCATTCATCATGAAAGAATGCAAGCACATAGCACACAAGGAAAATGTGTATAATAAATACAGCTGGAGTGCATTCCACAACAATTTGAGAGAAATGTCAGTTACATTTATTTTTCCAACTGTTTGGAAGATCTTCTCAAACACTTGCTTCAGAACTGAACCCCATATCTAGGGATAATGAATACACAGCATCTTATACCTTTTTGAAAGGCTTTCGGTTCAATCCACCTTACACCAAATTTTGAGACTTTCCTTGATTTTAGTAGGAGTGGGAACCAGGCCTGAGAACAGTGCAGAGGTTAAAAACATGTCTTGCATTGATTTTAGAGGTTAAAGAAATTATTATATCCCCCAAACGGGCATTCTAGAATTCTAGAGATTATTTCTGTATTTGGCCAACCAACTCCGTTTGAGTTGAGGAGTTCTTTTTAGAAAAATAGCTTGCCTTATTTTAAAACTCTTGCAGAGTGAAAGAAACACAACCTACCATGCTAAATGACTTCTTTATTAATTATTCAATTTTTTTTTTTTTTTAAAGGGACATGGTTTGGTGGGTGATAGTGGTGGTTGGGGGATGGTTGAACCAGATGGTCTCAGAGGTCTTTTCCGACTTTAAAGATTCTATGATCCTTCCTATGATTTTATATTTTTAGACCAAACAAGACTAAAACCATTATGGGAGCACAGGCATTATCACGTATTTTGATGTTACATCAAAACAAATCTACCCTCAAAAATACACTTTCAGACTCATATAG